TCCCACTTCAAAACGAACGTCCGCTCATCTGTCGACACCTGCATTCCACTATCTGATTTCCGGATCCTCTTCGCTTGACATCTGGCGTCCATCATCTGAGTGTCGAGCCCCCCTCTTGACACGTGAACTCCACTAAAACGAATTCTGAGTGTGTTTTAAATGGGTTCTGACAGTACTCCTTTTCTTGATTTTGAAATAAGATATACAAGCATAATAATTATCTTTAGTCACAAAGGTAACAAAAATATTTGTCTATACCTTCTTTCAAGACCTAAATTTTGAGTAGAACTTTTCGCATACAATAACTAGTTTGTCTTTGAGTAGAGCAAGAAAGTTAAGATTTATAAAACTCTCTTTGAAGTAGGTGGAATTATTGGTGGTGGATACCAATGTTTGACTGGACTAAAAAGCCAAAAGAAAAATGTGAACAAAAAATTAGGGATTTAGGAACTCGACCCTTAGTACAAGTTTTTAAAGAAACTTGAACAAGAATAGGGATTTGGTGACCGGCAAACTCGACATGGATGATTTGGTGACCGAAAATGATAAACGAGAAAAGAGAGAATGCAAGAAAGAGAAATTAAGGATTGTGTAAAGTGAAGATGTGGTGGTAAAGGAATAGGATTTAGGAGATATTATGACAACTTCTTTAAAATCAATTATAATACATTTTTAACAAAATTTCGAATTTGCTATTAGGTCTCGTGTAGTACAACGGGTGCTAAGTTAATCGCTATAAAAAAATATATTATGATAGATCATAATACGTTTTAAATTTATTTTTAGTTTTGTCACCATGTTAATATATTATGATGGTCTCCAATGCTAGGTCATAACCAATCATAATAAGTCTTACTTTTATTACGAAAATACCACCGATCAACCTTTTATAACAAGTGAATCTTACAGTCATAATATTAGGTTGTCATAAAATTTTATTTTTCCACTAGTGTTGAGTTAGTTTTAAAGTATCAAATTGTACATATAATATAATGGTATGATTATAGAAGACACAAATTAATTTAACAAATTTTGATTTTGATTATAATTAGTTATTAGTTTTTGAATTAATTTGCAATTAGCTAGGTTTTAAGCCCCTATCATACCTTTCAATCATGATATTGAAAGAAAATTAGGACTTCCGAGCAATCATAATTAAGAAATCCTTTTGTAGATTAAATTGATTATACTATAACTATTTTTGAATATTGTGTCATTGGGAACCATACACTCTTTCTTTCAAATTTATAATTGTATGAGATCCTATACAATTTAGACTAAACACTCAATACTATTGACATCTTCATCCTTTTTATGATTTGTCAATTTGCAAACATAGTTGTTATATAAGAATAGAAACAATGTTTAATGTTTATGAGGTGATGTTATTTTATATGATAATGAATATTGTAGAAAAGTGAATTTCTTTGTTAGAAAAAGGGTGAAGTTTACAATATAGTTTTAGTTTTCCATATGGTTGCATTTATAGTTGAAAAATATTTGTGACATAAACGTTGTTAGTGTGCACGTAAGGCAACAATATAGGTCATGCATAATATAATGGATGTCTTAGATTTAACTGACATTAAACTAGACTTTGTTCATAGAACATTGGTGATAGTGAAATTCTCTATTTCTGCAACAAGTTCTTGGTTAGTTGTCATTAACAAAGAATTGCTTTGATGACTAATGAATCACTATACTTGCTTAAGCACGTCAACCTAGATTTTACAACTACTACAATAGTAAGGATTAACTTAGATTGTATTCACAAGGAGAATTTACGTTTAATCTCAATTTCAATTTCAAACATAAGTATCATGTATTTTTGGAAGGCTAATTTTATTGTGTATCTCTTATAATAATAATATATCACAAGTCTACCTATTCCTTTAAGTAGAGTGTAGATGATTCAACCCAACTTCGAATTGGATCCATGGGGATTCAACTTTAAGTGAAACTAAGATGATTCAACCCAACTTGAACTTGGGCTCAATAGGTTCAACATGGACTTAAGTCGACTCAACCAACTTTAACTTGAGTTCGACTTAATCCAACCTAACTTGGATTGATCATAACTCTATTTGACCTAGACCTAACCCTATTCTATTTAACCTAGGTTCAACTTGACTTAATCAAACATGGACTCAACTGACCAACTTGACATAGTTCTACTAATCCAATCTAACTTAACTAGAATCTAAATCGAGATTGGAGTAGGTTTGATCTAACTTTAGCTTGAATTAGGTCCAACTTAAAACTGAGTTCATCCTTTTTCAACTTGACTTAGATCGGATTTAGTCTAACTTAACTTTAATATGTCTTATACAACATAGGTTAAAATTACATTACTCATGTCTTAACTTATCTTATATATATATATATATATATATATATATATATATATATATATATATATATATAGGTTTAAACCCTCGAATGATCCTCATATTTGTATGAGAATCTCAAGTGGGTCCTCATATTTGCAACTGTCTCAATTGGGTCATAATATTTGTAAAATTGAGCCAATTTTGCCCTGTCCGTTAAGTTCTCACAGATGGCATCAAAGTTTGCTGATGTGATGATACTGATCTGTGTGATCTTATTACGTGGAAATAAATTTTAAATTATGACGTGGAATTTGATAACCCTTACTGCCACATCATCATCCTCTTCACAAAAACCCTAATTCCCTAACCTTTGCCATTGAACTGCAACTGTGCCACCACCATCACCATCCATGTTGCGCTGCCGCAAGGCCGCCGCTTAACCCTTATTTGTCCTCCTCCATCAACCTTCATCAGAAACCCTCCTTCGCGCCGCCGTTAAGCTTCAACGCATCATCTTCTTCGCAGCACAAACAATGCCTACCTTGTCGTCATTGCCTCAGGCAACTGCCGCCATCAACAGTGCAAGACCTCACGCCACCACCCAATTTTCTCCACCACATCAGACCATCATTGGAACGCCAACAATGCCTCCATGGCCGCTGCGATTCGTAAATCTCCACAAACGCATCCATAATCTCTACAAGCCAAATCGCAAGCCTCTTCCATGGCATTCTCCAAAATCCAAAAATCGCAGAGGAGGGAACCTTTCCACCACAATCTCCTTCGTGCGAATCACCTGCAGCAACCACATAGCAAAAACCCTAATAGCGACTCCGTAATGTTCGCTCCAGCATTCATCTTCTTCACTAGGAACCTGAAAACGTAGAAAATCAAATCAAAATCGCGACAAAAATGGTCGCTGCGATTCGCAAATCTCTACGAATTTTGAACAAGAATTTCAAACTCGCAAAGTAGGGGAACCCTTCCATCACCATCACCTAACACACAGACCTACAAAAAATCAAAACAGAGAAACCCCCAAGAACCAACCAAATCACAACGTTCCTTCTCACTTCACCATCATCGCAAGAGACTACCGTGAACAGATAGCCACCCCGACACGAGTTTAGTTTCACCGCCAGCATCCGTGCAAGCAGTGTCATGGCGAGATCGATTTCACCTTAAAATCAATCTCCTTCACGCCTCTACTATGTGTGACGACACAACCTTTTCCTCCCCCCTGCAGAATGAAAAACTCTAATTTGTCATGTCATAATTTTTTAATTTAAATAAAAATTTCACCTAATTAAACAATGCACATCAGCATAAACACATCATCACATTTTAACGTCGTCTGTGAAAACTTAACGGACAGGTCAAAATTGACTCAATTTTACAAATATTATGACTCAATTGAGACATTTGCAAATGTGAGAACCCACTTGAGATTTTCATACAAATATGAGGACCATCGGAGAGTTTAAACCTATAATATAATTTAATCTTAATTTAATTTTTAAAAATATAAAGAATTATTCATTAATATCCAATCAAAGTTCAATTAAATAGAATGAACTTAAATACTTAAAGTATAAATATAAATTTAAAATAAATTCATCAAAAATACTTAAATTAATAACATTTTGAATAATTATTAAGTTTGAAAACAATTTGAATATATATTTACAAAAACATATATGATTAGGTACAGATTTTGGGGGGCTGTGATAATTTATGATTAGATTTGGGCTCATGAGTTAAAGCATACTACTTACGTGATATAGAAAATAGAAGATTTTGTAACCTAGTTTGACTTGGGCCCTGCCAACAAAAATGCCTAATATCTGTGCCTATTGGACAAACATGATGATGATTTCGGAAGCAATAAATTAACCTTCGCTTGTCAAACACGAGATTCATGGACAAAAAAACCATTAACAACTAACAACTGTAGTTCATTAAATAATGTTGATTAACTGTTCTGTTCTTGCAATCAACAAATTCATGTTGATTAACAACCACAATCATTTCAATGGAGGTCTTTCCAATGTTAAACTACTAAGCTTGCACATTCGTCATTCACTACAACAAATTTACAGACCCACGGGATATGGGAAGGAACAGTACGCAAACGTTGTTAGCATAGCATCTTGAAGNAATACTTAAATTAATAACATTTTGAATAATTATTAAGTTTGAAAACAATTTGAATATATATTTACAAAAACATATATGATTAGGTACAGATTTTGGGGGGCTGTGATAATTTATGATTAGATTTGGGCTCATGAGTTAAAGCATACTACTTACGTGATATAGAAAATAGAAGATTTTGTAACCTAGTTTGACTTGGGCCCTGCCAACAAAAATGCCTAATATCTGTGCCTATTGGACAAACATGATGATGATTTCGGAAGCAATAAATTAACCTTCGCTTGTCAAACACGAGATTCATGGACAAAAAAACCATTAACAACTAACAACTGTAGTTCATTAAATAATGTTGATTAACTGTTCTGTTCTTGCAATCAACAAATTCATGTTGATTAACAACCACAATCATTTCAATGGAGGTCTTACCAATGTTAAACTACTAAGCTTGCACATTCGTCATTCACTACAACAAATTTACAGACCCACGGGATATGGGAAGGAACAGTACGCAAACGTTGTTAGCATAGCATCTTGAAGTTGGTTGAGTCATTTATCAGTGATCTGAGTGTGATTCATAAAAATCACTTGGGCAGGGAGACATGACCTCTTGTTCCAGTATCTGTAACACTTGGTTCATTGATGGACGTTCATCCGCATTTGCATCAGTGCAACTTGCTGCTAGTTCAAGAATTACCTCCACAGATTCTGCATCTACTGAATCACTACATCTTTTGTCTACTACGTCCTCCAATCTATTTTCTTTCCGGAACGTGTTCATCTGCAAACAATTGTTATTAGTTTTGTAACACAAGTTCATATTTCATTTCTGCAATGAATGGATTAGGCCTTACCCAACCAACAACATTTACTCCTCTCCTTGCAAATGAAGGATCTGTTGGTCTCTTTCCAGTTACAAGTTCTAGCAACAGAACTCCAAAACTATACACATCTGACTTCTCAGTCGCTCTTCCACTTTGTAGATACTCTAATGTTGACAAAAGTAAAAATCATGAGCCACATAAGTTATTTCTCATTATATTAGCCACTACAATACAAATAAACTGACACGAAACAAATACATAAAAACGTTACATTTATAGTCTACATCCAAACTCAAACCTAGAAATTTTCAGTTCAAGAATTTCACTAAACCCTGAAAAGGGTGACAAGAATCTAAATGACATACCTGGTGCCAGATAACCAAAGGTGCCTGCAACCACTGTGGTAACATGGGCCTCTTCGTCAACCAAAAGCTTTGCAAGACCAAAATCAGAGACACGAGGCTCCATGTTCTCATCAAGAAGGATGTTGCTGGATTTTATGTCGCGGTGCACAATTTTCGGGCAGCAGTCGTGGTGCAAGTAAGCCAAACCCCGGGCAGAACCAAGAGCAATCTTTAGGCGTGTACTCCATTTCAGTGATTGTTCAGTGTTTTCTAAATCAGAAAGGATTCATCAAAAAGTTAGCAAATGGAGAATTGAAGTTAGCAAATGTCATCATTAAATGAAATCAATATAAACAAACTCATCCCTTCTCCTAGACCTCATTCTTATACAATGCCATAAAAATTTCCATTTCTATCAGAGCCAGAGGGATCCTCCACGAGAACAGTNATATTTGCAACTGTCTCAATTGGGTCATAATATTTGTAAAATTGAGCCAATTTTGCCCTGTCCGTTAAGTTCTCACAGATGGCATCAAAGTTTGCTAATGTGGTGATACTGATCTATGTGATCTTATTACGTGGAAATAAATTTTAAATTATGACGTGGAATTTGATAACCCTTGCTGCCACATCAACATCCTCTTCACAAAAACCCTAATTCTCTAACCTTTGCTGTTGAACCGCAACTGTGCCACCACCATCACCATCCATGTTGCGTTGCCGCAAGGCCGCCGCCTAACCCTAATTTGTCCTCCTCCATCAACCTTCATCAAAAACCCTCCTTTGCGCCGCCGTTAAGCTTCAATGCATCATCTTCTTCGTAGCACAAACAACGCCTACCTTGTCGTCACTGCCTCAGGCAACTGTCGCCATCAATAGTGCAAGACCTCACGCCACCACCCAATTTTCTCCACCACATCAGACCATCATCGGAATGCCAACAACGCCTCCATGGCCGCTCCGATTCGTAAATCTCCACAAACGCATCCATAATCTCTACAAGCCAAATCGCAAGCCTCTTCCATGGCATTGTCCAAAATCCAAAAATCGTAGAGGGAACCTTTCCACCACAATCTCCTTCGTGCGAATCACCTGCAGCAACCACACAGCAAAAACCCTAATAGCGACTCCGTAATGTTCTCTCCAGCATTCATCTTCTTCACCAGGAACTTGAAAACGTAGAAAAACAAATCAAAATCGCGACAAAAATGGTCGCTGTGATTCGCAAATCTCTACGAATTTTGAACAAGAATTTCGAAGTCGCAAAGTAGGGGAACTCTTCCATCACCATCACCTGACACACAGACCTACAGAAAATCAAAATAGAGAAACCCCCAAGAACCAACCAAATCGCAACGTTCCTTCTCACTTCACCATCATCGCAAGAGACTACTGTGAACAGATAGCCACCCCGACGCGAGTTTAGTTTCACCGCCAGCATCCGTGCAAGCAGTGCCATGACGAGATCGATTCCACCTTAAAATCAATCTCCTTCACGCCTCTACTACGTGTGACGACACAACCTTTTCCTCCCCTCTGCATAATGAAAAACTCTAATTTTCCATGTCATAATTTTTTAATTTAAATAAAAATTTCACCTAATTAAACAATGCACATCAGCATAAACACGTCATCACAGTTTAACGTCGTTTGTGAAAACTTAACGGACAGGTCAAAATTGACTCAATTTTACAAATATTATAACTCAATTGAGACAATTGCAAATGTGAGGACCCACTTGAGATTTTCATACAAATATGAAGACCATCGGAGGGTTTAACCTATAATATAATTTAATCTTAATTTAAATTTTAAAAATATAAAGAATTATTCATTAATATCCAATCAAAGTTCAATTAAATAGAATGAACTTAAAAACTTAAAGTATAAATATAAATTTAAAATACATTCATCAAAACATACTTAAATTAATAACATTTTGAATAATTATTAAGTTTGAAAACAATTTGAATATATATTTACAAAAACATATATGATTAGGTACAGATTTTGGGGGGCTGTGATAATTTATGATTAGATTTGGCTCATGAGTTAAAGCATACTACTTACGTGATATAGAAAATAGAAGATTTTGTAACCTAGTTTGACTTGGGCCCTGCCAACAAAAATGCCTAATATCTGTGCCTATTGGACAAACATGATGATGATTTCGGAAGCAATAAATTAACCTTCGCTTGTCAAACACGAGATTCATGGACAAAAAAACCATTAACAACTAACAACTGTAGTTCATTAAATAATGTTGATTAACTGTTCTGTTCTTGCAATCAACAAATTCATGTTGATTAACAACCACAATCATTTCAATGGAGGTCTTTCCAATGTTAAACTACTAAGCTTGCACATTCGTCATTCACTACAACAAATTTACAGACCCACGGGATATGGGAAGGAACAGTACGCAAACGTTGTTAGCATAGCATCTTGAAGTTGGTTGAGTCATTTATCAGTGATCTGAGTGTGATTCATAAAAATCACTTGGGCAGGGAGACATGACCTCTTGTTCCAGTATCTGTAACACTTGGTTCATTGATGGACGTTCATCCGCATTTGCATCAGTGCAACTTGCTGCTAGTTCAAGAATTACCTCCACAGATTCTGCATCTACTGAATCACTACATCTTTTGTCTACTACGTCCTCCAATCTATTTTCTTTCCGGAACGTGTTCATCTGCAAACAATTGTTATTAGTTTTGTAACACAAGTTCATGTTTCATTTCTGCATTGAATGGATTAGGCCTTACCCAACCAACAACATTTACTCCTCTCCTTGCAAATGAAGGATCTGTTGGTCTCTTTCCAGTTACAAGTTCTAGCAACAGAACTCCAAAACTATACACATCTGACTTCTCAGTCGCTCTTCCACTTTGTAGATACTCTAATGTTGACAAAAGTAAAAATCATGAGCCACATAAGTTATTTCTCATTATATTAGCCACTACAATACAAATAAACTGACACGAAACAAATACATAAAAACGTTACATTTATAGTCTACATCCAAACTCAAACCTAGAAATTTTCAGTTCAAGAATTTCACTAAACCCTGAAAAGGGTGACAAGAATCTAAATGACATACCTGGTGCCAGATAACCAAAGGTGCCTGCAACCACTGTGGTAACATGGGCCTCTTCATCAACCAAAAGCTTTGCAAGACCAAAATCAGAGACACGAGGCTCCATGTTCTCATCAAGAAGGATGTTGCTGGATTTTATGTCGCGGTGCACAATTTTCGGGCAGCAGTCGTGGTGCAAGTAAGCCAAACCCCGGGCAGAACCAAGAGCAATCTTTAGGCGTGTACTCCATTTCAGTGATTGTTCAGTGTTTTCTAAATCAGAAAGGATTCATCAAAAAGTTAGCAAATGGAGAATTGAAGTTAGCAAATGTCATCATTAAATGAAATCAATATAAACAAACTCATCCCTTCTCCTAGACCTCATTCTTATACAATGCCATAAAAATTTCCATTTCTATCAGAGCCAGAGGGATCCTCCACGAGAACAGTTATGAACAGTTCAGGTTATATGGTTTATACAAAATGGTGCGTACCATGCAAGAGATCGTCTAAGCTTCCCATGGCCAAATAGTCGTAGATTAGAAGCTTAGTAGAAGGAAGTCTGCAGTAACCACGCAGGTTAACTAGATTTATGTGCTTGATGCTACCCAATATCTCTAGTTCCCTCTCAAAACCCTGATCAGAACCTTCACGGCTTCTATCAATCCTCTTAACAGCAAATGTACCACAATCATTCATCACCATTCTATATACGGTACCAAATCCTCCAGATCCTACCACATCATCTTCGTCGAGAGACTCCAACTTTTCTATGATCTCAAATGATGTGTATGGCAGATCACCATGGAAGGTGATAAGTTTTGTACCTGTTACAATAACATGTGAGTATTTACAAAGAACAAAAAGACAATTTCTTTTTTTATTTTTTGATAGGAGAGTGCTATTTTGAAATACCATCATCCTTCCTACTTGATTCTGGGTTGACTTGATCCTTAACTTCTATGTATTTTCTAGCAGCTCTTTCCTTCTTTGATAGCAAGCAAATCCATAGTAACGAAAGAGTTATAACAAGTGCAAGCCCCATTATTGTTATTGCACCAACTAACACCCACTTCACATAATGTGAAGATCTTTTAGCAGGAACTGCATCATACAAATTCAAACTGTTATTGCTCAATTGGTAAATTTGGTTATAAGAAATGTACTAAGTCAAAGGGTGTTTAAAAATAGAATTTTTTGTTTTACTCTTAATACAACATTTCCCTGCTTACTAAAGGAACATAATGATTAATGTTTTTGTATTTTCTATATATTAATACATTCGTTTTTATTTACCCTTATTAAAAATTACTAGAATTAATATGTAGATACTGCAGTAGGACATAGCATCATTGCTAAAATATGAAGCATTGGATTTGACTTGCCTGCAGCTTCATCACTTTCTGCATGTGGTAGCACCACTGGAAAACCAAGTGATGTCCGACATGGTTTCTGAACTTGCCGCCCACAAAGATCTAAGTTCCCAATAAACCTGTTCAAATGCAATGAATTTTTATAAACAGAAGCTTAAATTGCATAAAAAATAGAAAGCTCATATTATTTCCTAGAAAATTAAGTGGAAAGTTCCTATCAGGTAAAATTTAATGCTACTCCCTCCATTTTACTTCATATATGTTAAGTTATGCGATTATTTTCAAATTAGTACATAACATTACTGGGAAAGTGTACTTACGCATTGTTCCCGAAGGTGCTTAGTACTCCAAGGTCAGGGATTTCACCGGAAAAGAAATTAGTTGACAAGTTCCTAAGACAAAGACATAAATTAGCATATGCCGAATCCCAAAGCTATGATATCTTTATGCCAACGCTACGGTTGAATGAACTTACAGAACACGCAGTTGTGTAAGACGACCAATAGAGGATGGTACAGCACCCTTCAATGAGTTACTTGACAAATCCCTGCATTTTAGCTTTCTATTAGATTGATAATTGAAAAATAAGATGAAGAGCCCAAATAAAGAAACTTCCCAATCCAAGATAAACACCAATGATTATTATTACTAACAAATTGAGCAAAACTTCTTGGGGACAGAAATAAAAGAGAAGGACTTACAATACATGTAAATAAGAAAGATTTCCAATATTTGATGGGATGCCTCCTTGTAAATAATTAGCTCTCAAATATCTGTAGATGGAATTAGATGAAACATGTCCAAACATTAAAATGAAAGCATCCATTATTATCCACACACAAATTTCAAACAAAACTATACTAATTTTCACTTACAGTGCTCTAAGCTCTGTACAATTGCCAATTTCATTAGGAATAACTCCATGTAAGCCATTCTGATGAAGTGCCCTGATTCATTGGAAACACAAGATGTTAGATCTCTCTACTTTGAAAAGTTATTCAATTGGGGAGAAACATGCAACTTGTACTACTTACAGTCTCTGCAGTCTGCTGAGTTTGCCAATGCTGGGAGATATAATACCCCCAAGTTGCATATAAGGTAGATTTCTAAAGCACAAGAGTGACAGAGACAGAGGTGTAAGCATGTCATTCTCAAACTCATAATTCAGGATAAAAATGAAGAAAGTTAAGCGCCATTTAGTTGCAGAAAATAATTATTGATGAAGAAAATTCTCTTTTATTTCTCCAACCGATTTGTAAGAGAAAATAAAGAGTGTATGCTGCTTACATACATTGAGCGTACTCGTTGTTCCCCAGGATGACAAGTGATACCGGTCCATGTACAGTGAGACTCATCAGACTTTTTCCAATTGCTCAGAAAATTCCTTGTATCATTTAAAGTGCTTTTGATCTCCAACAATGTATGTCCTAAATAGATGAATAAAAAACCACAAGTTCGAAACTTCAAACGGTGTATTATTTAATCTTTGAGAGCAGATGTGGTGAAAGCTGAAACTAGAAACTTTCCAAAAGCCACAAATCATTCATCCCAAACAACAAACATGAAAACACACTATGATTGATGCCTAGTTTATTTTGTGCAATGACAACAAAAACAATATATAAAGGAAAGGAAAGTGAGTAAATAATCAAAGAAGAAACCCAGAGAGAAAAGGATTTAACTTTAACCCAGAAGAGATTCAAATAAGGTTCTCACCGTCTTGCGTGAGAGCAAGAGAACAAGGGTATAAAACAGTGGTGGAAAAAACCAACAGCATCAACAATACACGACCCATTTCCATTCCAGCCTTCAAAATGGAAACTTTTGCTCACAACTTATCTGGGTGGGAGTGGATAGTGTCAACAGTGGTGATGATTCCAGTTGGTGGAGTTGTGATGAAAATATGGACCTCACAGGGTCACCATGATTAAACTTTAAACTAGCAAAGCTAATAATTTGAACTTTTGAAGCATGTAGAGCGAGAAAGCATGTATTATAGGAATGCTTCTTTTTCACTCAATAAATAAAAATTAATTTACGTGCAAAGGGAGAAGCCAAAATGCAGTCTTTGAAAGGTGACATAAAAAGTGATGCAGGGTGAAGTAGCCGTTCCCACAGTGCAAATTCAAATATTAAATTTTAAGGTTATATCATACTCGCGCGTAAGTGGTGAAGAAGAGTACTCGCCAGTGATTATGGAATATTTGTTCCACGTGTGCGGTAGAGGTGGAGAGTATTGGAACTACGAAGGTGAGCGCGTGGCCTTGTGCGGTTCGAATTTTAAGAGTAGCTCCGTTTTATAGGGGAAAACGGCGTACAATGTTCAAAAAACATCGAACATTTTACGAGGTGATTATGGTAAATGGCAGCCTCAAACATGGAGCATCGTTTTAGTGATATCACGCCGTTGGACGTGACTGTGACCATCACTGTGTGAGTTTTTAAAAATATGACTCTCGTTTTTTAACCGATTCAACAGGGTAAAAATCCATTTGAAACATATTANATAAATATAAATTTAAAATAAATTCATCAAAAATACTTAAATTAATAACATTTTGAATAATTATTAAGTTTGAAAACAATTTGAATATATATTTACAAAAACATATATGATTAGGTACAGATTTTGGGGGGCTGTGATAATTTATGATTAGATTTGGCTCATGAGTTAAAGCATACTACTTACGTGATATAGAAAATAGAAGATTTTGTAACCTAGTTTGACTTGGGCCCTGCCAACAAAAATGCCTAATATCTGTGCCTATTGGACAAACATGATGATGATTTCGGAAGCAATAAATTAACCTTCGCTTGTCAAACACGAGATTCATGGACAAAAAAACCATTAACAACTAACAACTGTAGTTCATTAAATAATGTTGATTAACTGTTCTGTTCTTGCAATCAACAAATTCATGTTGATTAACAACCACAATCATTTCAATGGAGGTCTTTCCAATGTTAAACTACTAAGCTTGCACATTCGTCATTCACTACAACAAATTTACAGACCCACGGGATATGGGAAGGAACAGTACGCAAACGTTGTTAGCATAGCATCTTGAAGTTGGTTGAGTCATTTATCAGTGATCTGAGTGTGATTCATAAAAATCACTTGGGCAGGGAGACATGACCTCTTGTTCCAGTATCTGTAACACTTGGTTCATTGATGGACGTTCATCCGCATTTGCATCAGTGCAACTTGCTGCTAGTTCAAGAATTACCTCCACAGATTCTGCATCTACTGAATCACTACATCTTTTGTCTACTACGTCCTCCAATCTATTTTCTTTCCGGAACGTGTTCATCTGCAAACAATTGTTATTAGTTTTGTAACACAAGTTCATGTTTCATTTCTGCATTGAATGGATTAGGCCTTACCCAACCAACAACATTTACTCCTCTCCTTGCAAATGAAGGATCTGTTGGTCTCTTTCCAGTTACAAGTTCTAGCAACAGAACTCCAAAACTATACACATCTGACTTCTCAGTCGCTCTTCCACTTTGTAGATACTCTAATGTTGACAAAAGTAAAAATCATGAGCCACATAAGTTATTTCTCATTATATTAGCCACTACAATACAAATAAACTGACACGAAACAAATACATAAAAACGTTACATTTATAGTCTACATCCAAACTCAAACCTAGAAATTTTCAGTTCAAGAATTTCACTAAACCCTGAAAAGGGTGACAAGAATCTAAATGACATTCTGCTGGTGTGTGGGAACTAAATACATACCTGGTGCCAGATAACCAAAGGTGCCTGCAACCACTGTGGTAACATGGGCCTCTTCATCAACCAAAAGCTTTGCAAGACCAAAATCAGAGACACGAGGCTCCATGTTCTCATCAAGAAGGATGTTGCTGGATTTTATGTCGCGGTGCACAATTTTCGGGCAGCAGTCGTGGTGCAAGTAAGCCAAACCCCGGGCAGAACCAAGAGCAATCTTTAGGCGTGTACTCCATTTCAGTGATTGTTCAGTGTTTTCTAAATCAGAAAGGATTCATCAAAAAGTTAGCAAATGGAGAATTGAAGTTAGCAAATGTCATCATTAAATGAAATCAATATAAACAAACTCATCCCTTCTCCTAGACCTCATTCTTAAACAATGCCATAAAAATTTCCATTTCTATCAGAGCCAGAGGGATCCTCCACGAGAACAGTTATGAACAGTTCAGGTTATATGGTTTATACAAAATGGTGCGTACCATGCAAGAGATCATCTAAGCTTCCCATGGCCAAATAGTCGTAGATTAGAAGCTTAGTAGAAGGAAGTCTGCAGTAACCACGCAGGTTAACTAGATTTATGTGCTTGATGCTACCCAATATCTCTAGTTCCCTCTCAAAACCCTGATCAGAACCTTCACGGCTTCTATCAATCCTCTTAACAGCAAATGTACCACAATCATTCATCACCATTCTATATACGGTACCAAATCCTCCAGATCCTACCACATCATCTTCGTCGAGAGACTCCAACTTTTCTATGATCTCAAATGATGTGTATGGCAGATCACCATGGAAGGTGATAAGTTTTGTACCTGTTACAATAACATGTGAGTATTTACAAAGAACAAAAAGACAAATTCTTTTTTTATTTTTTGATAGGAGAGTGCTATTTTGAAATACCATCATCCTTCCTACTTGATTCTGGGTTGACTTGATCCTTAACTTCTATGTATTTTCTAGCAGCTCTTTCCTTCTTTGATAGCAAGCAAATCCATAGTAACGAAAGAGTTATAACAAGTGCAAGCCCCATTATTGTTATTGCACCAACTAACACCCACTTCACATAATGTGAAGATCTTTTAGCAGGAACTGCATCATACAAATTCAAACTGTTATTGCTCAATTGGTAAATTTGGTTATAAGAAATGTACTAAGTCAAAGGGTGTTTAAAAATAGAATTTTTTGTTTTACTCTTAATACAACATTTCCCTGCTTACTAAAGGAACATAATAATTAATGTTTTTGTATTTTCAATATATTAATACATTCGTTTTTATTTACCCTTATTAAAAATTACTAGAATTAATATGTAGATACTGCAGTAGGACATAGCATAATTGCTAAAATATGAAGCATTGGATTTGACTTGCCTGCAGCTTCATCACTTTCTGCATGTGGTAGCACCACTGGAAAACCAAGTGATGTCCGACATGGTTTCTGAACTTGCCGCCCACAAAGATCTAAGTTCCCAATAAACCTGTTCAAATGCAATGAAATTTTATAAACAGAAGCTTAAATTGCATAAAAAATAGAAAGCTCATATTATTTCCTAGAAAATTAAGTGGAAAGTTCCTATCAGGTAAAATTTAATGCTACTCCCTCCATTTTACTTCATATATGTTAAGTTATGCGATTATTTTCAAATTAGTACATAACAATACTGGGAAAGTGTACTTACGCATTGTTCCCGAAGGTGCTTAGTACTCCAAGGTCAGGGATTTCACCGGAAAAGAAATTAGTTGACAAGTTCCTAAGACAAAGACATAAATTAGCATATGCCGAATCCCAAAGCTATGATATCTTT